ATGGAGACTCATCAAGGCAGGTCTATCTTGTGGGGCTTCTTGCCCATTCAGGCCTGTCCTACCCATGTCATCCCTCTGGTCTCTGGTTTGTTTTATTATTATTATTATTATTATTATTTTAAAAGAGAGGGTCCCACAGAGCAGTTCGGGCTGGCCTGAAACTAGTAATCTTGCATCTAGTTTCTTAGGGCTGGTATTCCAGGTAATGAGCCACTATGTCTGTCTGAACTGTAACTTTAAAAAAATTACATGTATGTACATGTGTCTGCTTGTCTGTGTGTACACTGCATGCATATAGGGGCCTGTGGAGGCCAGAAGAGCGTGTTGGAACCCCTGGAACTAGAGTTCCAGGAGGGTTTAAGTTCTCCAGGGTGGGAGCTGGGAACAGAGCCCTGGTTTCTCTTGGAGCAGCCTGTGTTCTGAAGCCACCGCTCTAGGCCTAATTTAACTCTTTGGTGCCCTTAAGGCCCCACCCATGACTACAGACAGCTTTCATCGGCTCCCTGACCCTGCCTGCTCCTTTCTTGGGACTCCTTCTGGTGTCTCTTTTCGGGTCAGGCTTCCTCGACACTTGGCTTGAGTCTTTTATCTCACTTTTAATTACATGTGTGGGGTGGCCTGGAAGCCACTGTGTGGTTACAGTCATTTTGTTTTGAGGTGCCACTCCGTCTCACCTCTGGACCAACCTGATCATGTGACCCAGGCTAGGCCAGCTGGTACGGTCCATCCCTCTGGGCTTCAGTGACTGGTTCAGGTATGGGCAGGTGATCTATATGGTCACTTAAGGTGAAGGTCACGTGACTGCTGTTGTGGCTTCAGTGACTGGTTCCGGAATGAGCAGGTGATCTATATGGTCACTTAAGATGAGGTCACGTGACTGCTGTGGCATCACTGACCTACTCCTGCCTGTCTAAACTGGTGACAATGTAAGCTTGGGTGACCACAAGCTGCCCAAGAGGCGCGGAACAAGATGACTCTTAGTGACATAATTTCAGCTCTGAAGTGAAACCCGTGTGTCTTAGTCACTGTCGTTTACTGTGAAGAGACACCGTGATCAAGGTAACACTTATAAAAGAAAGCACTGAAGTGGGGGCTTGCTTACAGTTGCAGAGGGTTAGTCTGCCACCATCACGGCAGGGAGCCTGGCTCCACCTCGGCCCTGGAGCTGTAGATGAGAGAGAACCTGGGCCTGGTGTGGACTTTTGAAACCTCAAAGCCCACCCCCCAGTGACACACTTCCTCTAACAAGACCACACCTCCTAATCCTTCCCATCGTAGCAGAGTTCCAATCCTGGTGACAAAGCTTTCAGACATAGGTGCCTCGGGGCCATCCCTACTCAGCCACCACACCATTGGACATTCTGGCTACAGGACCCAGCCAATGGTTAAACAGAGAACTGTTGGGGCCCGCAATTGAATAATCTCAGCGTAGCCTGGCCTGGGTTGTGTTGGGGCTGTGTCTGTGCTGAGGACCTGGTTCGGTGCCCAGCATAGGCAAGGTCAACGAATGACGGAAGACACGGAGGGGTCTCAGAGTGGCTCCCTTCCTTTAGACCTGGAAACCAGACAGCGGGTGGGCAGAGTCCCATGGGAACCAAGTTTCTTTAGCGTAAGGAACTTCAGCTGCAGGAAAGAGTTGTCACAAAACGGCTCTTCAGGGCTCGTGAAATTCTCGGAGGATCTAAAGTTCTCTAAGCGAAATTCCTTTGCCTTAGGGTTCTGAATTCTTAATCTCACTCTTATTGCCTTATAAGAGAATAACTGAAAACGCACACACAGAGCTACCAAAGTTACCTTCAAAGGGTTTGGATGGCGTGAGAGCCAAAGTTACATTTTAAGTTTTAATTACTGTGCCTTAGAGATCCATGAAACAAAAATGCCTCGGATCTGTGTGCCCCTTGCCCAAGGACAGAGAGTTCCTGAATTGCTGGAGGCCATTGTTTATGGGCGATAACAAGGCACATGTTTTTACTCCCCTAAAGAAGTTTGTTTGACCCGTCTGTACTGGACATGCTTGATCACATGCGGGTAGGAGGTTCACAGGCAGGCAGTATGTCAGGATGTATGCTTGCCCCTGATTAGACCTAATGGGAAACACATTATAGGTTTTCCTTCTTAAACCGCAGCAGACTGATTCTGGGCCTTTTCCCTGGAACCTGGGTCTGAATCTGGCCAGAGCCCATCCACCTGACTAGTATTTAATTAAAACTTGCTTCAAATTTGGCTTTAAACTGTGGTAGTGGTCTTATTCTCGATTGGTGGGATTAACAATAGGAAGGGGCCCAACAGAGAGGAGACAGGATTGGAGACTTTTGAGCCCTGCCAATATAGGACCTTTTCACAAATGGAGTAAGGGTCTGGGAAGATGGCTCAGCAGGTAAGGGTACCTGTTGCCAAGCCTGATGACTGAGTTTGATCCCCCAAGCTCACACTGTGGAAGGTGGAAGGGAAGAATGGAGGCAGGCAAGCTGTCCCCTGACCTCTATGTATGTTGTGGCATGTCTGCACGCATGCACACGCAGAGACAGACACGCTGGTGGACACACTCACTAAATATCTATACTAGAAAAAGTAGGAAAAGGAAAGAAGGCTGCAGGAGTGTGAACCACCAAGAACCAGTATCAGCTCTTCACAGCTGGGGAGGGCGTGTGCCAGCTGTTTCTCTTGGGGGCTGGGGGCTGGGGGCGTGTTTCTGAAAGGCGGGCAGGACTGCCTGTGTTGAGAGGTGGACAGAGGCTTGCTGAGGCTAGGGGATTATCTGGAAGGATCTGCCTTGGGTAGGTCACCCGATAAGCTGACTGGGAACAGAATTAGGTAGCCTTAAAACCAGGCTACAGCAGCAAAGAAACGCTGGCCCAGAGACCCTCTGTTCCTAGAAGACACTGTTTATCTCACACCATGTCATATACCAACTGTCTAGATGCATGCTCCTTCAGCCTTCTGGGCCTGTGGATGTTGTGGGAGATCGTTCGTTCGCTCCTGGCCGTTCTGACTAGAAATAATCACACAGAAGCTGTATTATTGAAATCACTGCTTGGCAAATCACTTGAGCATATTGCTGCTAGCTCTTGTATCTTTGGTTAACCCATTTCTATTAATCTGTGTATTGTCACGTGGCTGTGGCTCACTGGCAAGGTTCCAACGTGTCTGTCTGGCGGCGGCTACATGGCTTTGTTGGGGGAGATGCTCGTTTGTTCCCAGATGCCCAGCCCTGAAATAATCACTCAGAAAATGATATTATTTACAATACTGTTTGGCCAATAGCTTCAGCCTATTTCAAGCTAGCTCTTATATACTAAACTAACCCATCTCTGTTAATCTGTGCATCACCACAAGGTTGTGGCCTACCATCAAGGTTTCGACAGGCTCCAGCAGAGGCATCTGTCTCTGGCAGCGGCTACATGGCTTCTCACTGACTCCGCCTTCTTTCCTCTCTATATGTTTTCCAGCCTGGCTATATTCTGTTAAGCCACTGGCTGAAAGCAGCTTCTTTATCCATTAACCAATAAAAGCAACACATATACAGAAGAACTTCCCACATCATGTGGATTTTTTTATTTTTCTTTCTTTTTTTTTTTTCCAAGGCAGGGTTTCTCTGTGTAGCTTTGGCTGTCCCGGAACTCATTCTGTAGACTAGGCTGGCCCTGAACTCTCAGAGATGCACCTGTCTCTGCCTCTAGAGTGCTGGGTTTAAAGGCTTGTGCCACCACTGCCCAGCATAGCCTGTGGATTCTTGAGTGAAATGGAGAAGCTGGAATCAACGCCCTGGACTAATGTGACTTCCATGCCTGGTGTTCTTTTCCAAGCCATCTTCTCTCCATTGTTCCTCTGCGAAGCCCTAGCCCCACTGAGAGAAGGTATGAAACGTCACCAGCCATATAGTGTGCACCTTAAGATACCCGCGGAGAGGCCTTGAGTTAGCCGGGGTGCAGCTGATGGTCTTCCTGCCTTCTCCGCACATAGTGCTTCCTTCTTCTTGGAGCTCTCACAGTTGGAGGCTTTGGCCGGACTGAGAACTGGTGCTGTGTCTGGGGAGAGGCTGCTGGTCTCCACCTTAGAGATTTTCTAGGCCCCCACCTAAGTGGCCGTTGTTAGGGAACTAGCAGCATGTGAGGATGCAGAAACCCAGACTTGGTCTGGGGTGACTGATAGTGGTGCAGGTGGATGTCTGTGGGGCCGGAGGACATGTGTGGGCTCCCGGGTCCAGGGCATTTCCTAGGTCTGGAAAGCAAGACGCCAGTCAGAACATTCAGCAGGGGCCTTGAGTTTAGAGTCTGTTATTGTGGCAAATGGCAATATGCGCTGGTACAGGGCACGAGGATGGGACCGAAAGGGACTTAGCTCCTGGCATCCAGTCCTTCTGGTGGGGCAAGAACACTGACGGTGGCTCGTGGGCAGAGGGAGAGGACTCTGCACCTCTGCAGGACCTCTAGCATGTCTGTGCCAATTTCTGTAAAATCTAGGGTAGATACTAGGTAAACAGGACTTGTCTTTTGGGGCAGAGGGAGAATTTCTGCTTTTCTACACTGCATTTTTTTATGCACAAAAATGTGAGCATCAGATAATCATTTTTTTTTTGTTTTCTGCAGTAATAAAATCTTAAAAATAAAACCTAATCACTATACCCTTGGAATGTTTGTGCTGAACACTCATGTTCAAAGGTCACGAAGATACGGTTTTCTGGCCTCAAACTCACCGTCAGCACAAGCCTGCAATCCTCTGCCAAGGCCATCTTCTTGGTCTCCAATTGCAATTGCCGCTGAGGAACCACTTTCTCTCTCTCTCCGTCTTAGATCCTCAGAAGTGCTGCAGGCACAGATTCGAGAGGTGAAGGCGAATCAGCGGCCCCCAAGTTCTTCTAAGGTGACTGGCTTCAAGTGCATCTGGCCAGAAAGCGCCACCAAAGTCTCCCCTGACAAGATTCAACTAAGTGATGCTTATTCTTTTTGCCTTAAAAAAACAAAGTTGTGTAGATTAGAATGGGGCTTTTTTACCCCGAGGAAAAATAATCGCCAGTTAACATCAACAGGTGGGGGTGGATGAGAAAATGAAACGGAGGTTTAGAACGCCGGGCGGTTTTCCCAAGAGACCAAAACCAAGAAGGGAAATGCGGTATTTGGTGCAGGTCTGCCCCCTATGGACCAGATTCTCAATTGCCGGGGTTAACTGAAGGGCTCTGACTGCTGTGATCTCGATGCCACCCTCGCCCCTTGCCCCTTTCTACTGCCACCTGATGCCACCCCCCAGGTAAGGCAGCCTCAGGGACTTTCTCCTTTGCTGGCTCCCTTGGCTTGGAATGTGACCTGGGGACTCAGCCACGTACCCGCTGCAGTGAAACTTTTAGACCCGGAAAGAGGAAGTTTTAAGAGACAAGCTTTCCTTTCCTGTCTGGGAGCAGTGTGTATTTCTAGCCCATACTGACATGTAGCCGGGCAGTTTCCATTTTGGTCACGTTAGATCAATGATGAGCCACAAGATGTCCAGAATTGTCTCCCCACGTTGTGAAATAGCGCAATGCTTTGTCTGCCTACGGATTCTGATGTCCGGTTATGATTGAGCCAAAGACACTGGCCTAAAAGACCAATTACGAGAACTCCTTTGGAAATGGCCTGTCTTACTAGCCCGATTCCTGCCTGATCACCAGTGGCCCTGGGCTCTCTTTCGACATACCTGGCACAGGATGGTGAGTATTTAAACACATTCCTTTGTGCTTTGAGTCCTTTCTAAGGGTCATGTTTGGTCTCCTGCTATCAGATGAAGCTTGGTGGGACCAAAAATGTTCATGTCAAAGGAGAATAATGGCAGAAAGTTGTCTTAAATGTGTATATTTACTGCCACCACTAAATAAATACACACTAGGGTATTTTCTTAATTAGTAATTGATGGGGGAAGGGCCAGCCCATTGTGGGTGGTGCCACCCCTGGGCTGGTGGTCCTGGGTTCTATAAGAAAGCAGGCTGAGCAAGCCATGGGGGGCAAGTCAGTAAGCGGCACCCTCCATGGCCTCTGCATCAGCTCCTGCCTCCAGGTTCCTGTCCTGCAAGTTCCTGCCCTCACTGCTTCTGATGATGAACTGTTATCAGGAACTGTGACTGAAATATACCTTTTCCTCCCATGGTTGCTCTTGGTCATGGAGTTTCTTCACAGCAAGCCCTGTTGGGAGCATTTGGAGTCCTGGTCTCCAGCTGCTCTTCCCTGCTAGAGATCTTTACTTTCCTTCTGATTTGAGTTACTGAAAGCTGTGTCAAAGTTGTTTACCAGCTCTGCTTCACGAGCACGTGTTGCCTTGGCCTTGAGGATCAGAGGATAAGGTTTTCACCTGTTGGCCCACCTGACTGTGTTGGGTATATAAGCCTCCGTGGTACTATTGAATAGAGGGCTTCTTACCAGTGACTAGAGGTCCGTGTCTCTGTCTCTCTGTCTGTGTGTCTTTGTGTGTTTCAACCTCCAGCCCCTTGCCCGAAGCTCGCGAACTGTACGGTAGCGCATAGAGTGCAGACAGGCGTTGTGTGCTGCAAAACCCTAACTAAAACTTAGTCTTCCACTAGAACAAATGAAGTAGCAGGGATGCTGGGCCTTGCTGCAGACATGAATCAGGCTCTCTCGACTTGAGGCCTGGGTACAGCACTTCCGAATGCTTTCCTGTTGACCCGGTCTAAAGCCATCTTACTGCAGGAAAGCATCTTACTGCTGGGGTGGTCAAGCTAACTTCCCACCTTCTGGGGATTTAACACCCAGTCCCCAGTAGGGCTGGGAACTGTTATCTCGAAGCATCATAACTTGAGGGCATGGATTCCAAGCAAGTCTTCCACAAATGATCCTTTTGGCAAAATAATTCTTAGGGACTGAATGTGGACAGAAGGTTCTGTGAAGTACACAAAGAAATAAAACCTTCATGGAACCTGTGTTCCCTAAGTCACCTGTGTGCGTATCTTGCTCTAAAATTTCCAAAATTCCAAGACCTATAAATTCTAGTATGACTGAGAACTGAGGCAGCGCTAAGATTCCCTTTGGTATGAACTTTTTCTTTATTTTCCCGTACGTACCTCTTGTTTTTCAGACTGGAATTTGGATCCTGTTGCCTTCTCTATTTCATCTTTTGGTGACATCCTCTGCTGATTCTTCTCTCCTTCCCGTCTGTTACTCCTCGTGTATTCTCTTTGGTGAACATTTATTTGGAAAATTAAATGTCTGTGTGGACTTTCAGTTTAATAAAATGTCTTGAAATGACTTCACATCTCCACTGTTCACAGGAGGCTGAGAGGAGGAGTGGGCTAGCCGCTCAGGTCCGAGGCAGTAGGCCGACCCTCAGACTGTATCCAGGTGGCTCTCCTCAGGGACTATATGCCGAGGATGGAAGGGAAGCCAAGTTCTTTACTGCACAGCACTGCGAATTGGTATATAACCGACATTACAATATTCTAATGTGCCTTCTTGTATTACAAAGACTAAGTCATGAATGACATATGTTCCCACGTGGGTCCTGGGGATTGAACTCAGGTTATCAGGCTTTGGTGGCAAATGCTTGTATCCACTGCACCACCTTAACCAACCAAGATTAGCCCCCACCCCCACGGTGACACAACTAAGTGTCAGCCTTTTTCTATTTGTCATTTGTGTTCCTCAGTGTAAATGTTTACATGGTGCAAAAGTAGATCAGTGTTTGAGTGCTCTGAAAATAGATCTGGCTGTGCTGACCCCTGGGAAGCTCCTGGAGTGGATTTCCCTTTGAGAACTGACTGTGTCTAAGAAACACCGTGGCAAATGAGTTGCAGTGACGGTAAGATGAGGCAGTCCAGCAGAATGTGATGTGTGCCTGAGAAACGGCAGGCAGGAAGAGGGGAGGGCCGGGGCAGAGGCACCTCAAGATATAATGGAACCAGGAACACCTTCATGGCGGCTTCTGTAGGTTTAAGTCTCCCTCAGCAAGCTATGAGAGCATTTTTTTCTACAAGGTTTAGTTGGTGTGTATGTTGATATACTGAGTCAGGGCCTAAGGTCCTGGCTGTCCTGTAACTCACTACGTAGATGGCTTTGAACTCACAGAGATCCTTCTGCCTCTGCTTCCCAAGTGCTGGGACTAAAGGTGTGTACACACCTCAGCTGTAGTGTGTGCCTTTCATCAGAGTATCCTAGAGTTCAGGGTGATCCCTGTAGGTTAAAAGGCAGCCGGAGTCACATGGTAAGGCCCTGTCTCAAAATGAACAAAAACCCAAAGCTACAATTTAAATAAAGTTAAGGTGGCCACGTTACATTCATTAATGATGAGATCAAAAGCAGCAGTGCTGATTTTTCTTATGGGGAGCAAACACACGTGGTCCAAGATCTGCGGGAATGAACGGCTGCACCGTGATTCCAACAGACGGAATTTATCTCCGAAGGAAACAGAATGCTGTAACCAAACACTGTGATTGTCACTTTTCATGTTCCATGACTTAGGCCTAGCAGCAAGCTCACATAGAGACGTCACTGTTCACACAGACCGTCCACACGATGCCCACACTCGAGCAGCACTGTGGGAACCCGGTCTTAACCCTGGTTCTAGAGTACTTCACTTACTACAGAGCACTTCGGGGAAGGGGAACGTAACTATCCTGCACACCTGCGTCGATATATCCTATGCAATCTTTTTAAAACCCTTTCATTCTAATCACAGCATTTAAAAAGCATCACATTTGTGCGCGCACATATGTATATGGGTGCATACCTGCCATTGTGTGTGTTAGAGTGTGTGTGTGTGTGTGTGTGAGTAGGTCAGAGGACAGCTGTAGCAGCTGGTTCTCCTACAGTGAGGTCCTGAGGACTGAGTGTAGGTTGTTAGGTGCAGCAAGCACCTTCCCCTGCTGGCTCATCTCACTGCCCTACTTTCCTTTGAGACAAGGTGTCACACAGCCCAGAATACAGCCAATCCTGTCTACTTCCCCAGTACTGGAACCGTGGTGTGTGTCACAGTGTCATTTTATGCAGTGATGGGACTCAGACCCAGGGTTCCGAACATGCTAGACGAGCACTCTCCTGAGCAACACTGCAGCCATCACTATGGCATTCCCATATGCGTACATTTGCTCGGTTCTTTTTTTTTTTAAGTAAATTTTATTAAATTATAAAAGTTTCCATTTCCGCCCCCCCTCCCAACACCCTCCCACTCCCCCCACTCCCCCCTCCTTCCCCTCCGTCCCCCAGGGCAGTCAGGGTTTCCTGCCCTGTGGGAAGCTCCAGCTCCCTCCCCCTCCCTCCAGGTCCAGGAAGGCGAGCGTCCAAACAGACTGGATCCCCAAAATCCAGCATATGCAGAGGAAACAGGTCCCAGTGTCATAGTCAATGGCTTTTCAGAAAGACCCCGGGCCAGCCACAGTCAGAGAATCCGGCCAAATTCCGAGAATCTGGCTAGATCACGTCCTCGTTCAGTCCCAGTCCGACTGGCCCTGGTAAACTCTCATCAGATCCGTTCCCTTGTATCAGTGGGTGATAGCATCCCTCGCAGTACTGATTTCGTCTTTCATGTTCCTCCTCCTTCCGCTCCCCATCCGGACCTCGGGGGGCTCAGTCCGGTGCTCCAATGTGGGCCTCCGACTGCATCGCCGTCCTTCGCCAGACGAAGGATCTATGGTGATAAGCAAAATATACATCAGTATGGTCATGGGCCACGGCCGATTCAGGCACCCTCTCCTCTGTCCAGAGAGCAATCTGGGGGATCTCTCCTTGGACCTGGGATCCCATATATAATCAAGTCTCCTGTAAACCCTAAAATGGCTCCCTTACTTGAAATATATTGTTCCCTGATCCCATATTCATCCTTCCTCCCTCCCCCCCCCATCCCAGGCCACCAAGCTTTCCCCGTTCCTCCCCTACTCCCTTCTCTCTAGCCCTCTCCCCCTCCATCGACCCTCCCACCCCCCCCATGCACCCGAGGTTACCTGGGACTCTTGTCTATTTCCTACCTCCTGGTGGATAGCTAAATAATCTTCATCAGGTTCATCTTCTTATTTAGCTTCTCTAGGATCACGAATAATAGGCTCAAAGACCTTTAATTATGGTTAGAATCCACTTATGAGTGAATACATACCGTGTTCCTCTTTTTGGGTCTGGCTTACCTCACTCAGTAAAGCGTTTTCTATTTCCATCCATTTGCATGCAAAATTCAAGATGTCATTGTTTTTTACCGCCGAGTAAAACTCTAATGTATATATGTTCCACACCTTTTTTAACCATTCTTCTATTGAGGGGCACCTAGGTTGTTTCCATGTTCTGGCTATTACAAATAGTGCAGCTATGAACATAGTTGAACAAATGCTTTTGTAGTATGTTAGGGAATCTTTAGGGTATATTCCCAAGAGTGGTATTGCTGGGTCCTGAGGGAGGTTGACTCCCAGTTTCCTGAGAAACCGCCACACTGATTTCCACAGTGGCTGCACGAGTTTGCATTCCCACCAACAATGGATGAGTGTTCCCCTCACCCCACATCCTCTCCAGCATAGGCTATCGTTGGTGTTTTTGACTTTAGCTATTCTGACAGGTGTAAGATGGTATCTCAAAGTGATTTTGATTTGCATTTCCCTGATTGCTAAGGAGGTTGAGCATGACCTTAAGTGTCTTCTGGCCATTCGAAGTTCATCTGTTGTGAATTCTCTGTTAAGTTCAGTACCCCATTTTTTAATTGGGTTAATTAGAGTTTTAGTGCCTAGTTTCTTGAGTTCTTTGTATATTTTGGAGATCAGACCTTTGTCTGATGAGGGGTTGGTGAAGATCTTCTCCCAGTCAGAAGGCAGCCTTTTTGTCCTACTGACAGTGTCCTTTGCTTTACAGAAGCTTCCCAGTTTCAGTAGATCCCATTTATTCATTGTTTCTCTTATTGTCTGTGCTGCTGGGGTCCTACTTAGGAAGAGGCCTCCTGTGCCTAAATCTTGTAGACTACTTCCCACTTTCTCTTCTATCAGGTTCAAAGTGGACAGATTAATGTTGATGTCTTTAATCCATTTGGACTTGATTTTTGTGCATGGTGATAGATATGGATCTACTTTCATTTTTTTACAGGTTGACATCCAGTTATGCCAGCACCATTTGTTAAAGATGCTTTCCTTCTTCCATTGTATACCTTTAGCTCCCTTGTCGAAAATTAGGTGTTCATAAGTTTGTGGGTTAATATCTGGGTCTTCTATTCGATTCCATAGGTCGACTTCACTGTTCTTATGCCAATACCAAGCTGTTTTCAATACTGTAGCTCTATAATAGAGTTTGAAGTCAGGGATGGTAATGCCTCCAGAAGTTCTTTTATTGTATAAGATTGTTTTGGCTATCCTGGGTTTTTTGTTTTGCCATATAAACTTGATTATTGTTCTCTCAAGGTCTGTGAAGAAGTTTGATGGGATTTTGATGGGGATTGCATTGAATCTATAGATTGCTTTTGGTAGAATTGCCATTTTTACTATGTTGATTCTCCCAATCCAAGCATTTGCTCGGTTCTTATTCCCCGCCCAGCCTCCTCCATTCATCCTCTCCCCAAACAGCCCCCTTTCTGCTTTATTCTGTCTCGGTCCCCTCCCCACCTTCGGACCAATGTGGTCTTTTAAATGTGGCGCAAACCACATTTAAAGGTCTGCAGGGCTGGCTCAGGGCTTGAGAGCACACAGCCTCTGCAGAGGTTCTGCTACATTTAGCGTGCCTCATACCCACTCTGGGTGCCTCGCAGCCACCCACAGCTCCAGCTCCCAGTGGTCAGATGCCTTCCTCAGGTCCATAGGCACCTCACACAGTGTTCACTCACACAGACTCATAAATAAGAATAAGAAAAAGAAATTTTAAAAGTTGGTATCACTTCAGAGAACTAAATGAGTGTATAGCTGCTTTTAACATCCTGTTAGAACGTGGGCAGTATTTCTTTAGCTCCTCAGTAACTGCATAACTTTTATCCTCTGTGGATGGATGTTTTGCCTACACGTGTGTACTCTTTCTTGCCCCCACATAAAGAAGATCTCTGTTCAAACTGGATCATTGCAAACTTGTTGATTTTAAACTCATATCAAAATTATTGCCTATTATTGTCTAGATAAATACTTTCCTAAAATAAAGGTAATAAATGCAGACAGGTCTATTATGCATTTATTTCTAGGCAGGATCAGCATCTGAGAATATAATACAGTTCAAAATAAAGTTGCCTGGCTTAACAATGGGTGCTTGCTAAGGGTAGGGAATTGTAAGTATTGAACATAGATAAAACTCCGTAAAAACTTGATAGGCTTTTCATTTTAAGATTATAATTGAAATATGCATGTAGCTTTAAGCTCACAGGACAAATGTGTCAAGATCTTATAAAGAAAGCTGGACTGAAAAGATGGCCGCCCACGTGCCCTTCTGACTTTGGAGAACTGTCACTATGACGGTACAAGGCGGGTGATGTGTTCAATTCTCTAGATATTTATAATGAAATGCAAGGAAAAATGAAAAAGGAAAAGTTTGTCCTTTTAGAGGCAAAATAGACTAAAGATACCACCCTCTCTTTTCATTATGTAGACCAGGCTAGCCTTGAACTCAGAGATCCACCTGACTCTACCTTCTGAGTGCTGGGATATAAAGCCTTGAGCCATACCCACTCTAAAAAACATTTTCAAGTCCTTGGTTCGGTAAATGTACATACTGAAATAAAAAGAAATGCCCACCGTTACAGCTCACCAGCGTAGCTGGTAGGCTTTCTCTTTCTCTCACTTTTTGTTTTTGTTTTTATTTTGACACACGGGGGTGGGGGTAGGCGGCAGTGTCTTACTCTGTAGCCCAGGCTGGCCATGAACTCACAACCCTCTTGCCTCAGTCTCTCAGGTGCTGGGCTTACAAGTGTGCACTGCTGTGCTCAACCTTCACTAGTCTGAGTACATACGTGCATGGGGGTGGAATATATGCTGTCAATCAAAATTTCCATGTTTATTATTATTACATAATTACACAGAGATATAATTTTGAGGAATAAAAAGATTTATTTAAAGATAAAACTTGTAAATATATCTTGATACAAAAATGTGGGCATCAGCCACTTTGAGATTTCTTTTGTTGCAACTAGAGTTATTTACAAGTGCGTAAGTGTGTCACAATCAGGAAAAGCTTGATTTACTTTCTTTCTCTCGTTTTGTACTGCTGGGAATGACTTAGGACCTTGCCCACGCTTTGCCAGTGCTCTACCGAGCCAGACCCCAGCCTGGGAACAGGCTTTTAGTGTAGAGGGTGTTAGGTGGCTGGAACAGAGCTAACCCTAAACCAAGCAGCGCAGATCTGTGCCACACTTTACAGCCCTTCAGAGCACCCCGTGTCACCTACACCAGATAGCAGACACAGAGGAGAATCCTTCAGAGCGCCCCGTGTCACCTACACCAGATAACAGACACAGAGGAGAATCCTTCAGAGCACCCCGTGTCACCTACACCAGATAGCAGACACAGAGGAGAATCCTTCAGAGCGCCCCGTGTCACCTACACCAGATAACAGACACAGAGGAGAATCCTTCAGAGCGCCCTGTGTCATACACCTACACCAGATAACAGACACAGAGGAGAATCCTTCAGAGCGCCCTGTGTCACACACCTACACCAGATAACATAGACACACGGGGAACAGGCACAGAGTAGAATTTTGGCAGACTGGAAAGGCCCTGAAATGTCTTTGGGGCTGGGAAGCAAAACAGAGATACTGCATTACTTGAACATGTTGCGATGATACAGCTCCTCCCCTCTCGGTGTGGCCAGGCAGGAGCCCAACAGGCTACCACTGGTTAGCTATGCTTCAATAATGATGTATCAACCCGATCGTAGTAGAAAAGTGCACAGGTTGCCTGAAAAGGTTACTGTTTATTTGATGGAATTATGGAGTTTAATTGAAAAACCCAACAACAGTCCTACTTATTTGAAGGACTTTAGTCATTTTAGAAACACCGAAAATTTTTTATATATAAATAGATATTTACTAATATAAAACTAACTTGATATTTCAGTGAGTACAGGAGGGGATATCCTACAGTGGAGACGTTACTATTACTGTCACTATTGTGCATAATACTGAATGGAGTGAGAGAGACTCCATGAGGCACATATGGGGAGGGGGTCACAACGCACCACACCCTCGACAACCCTCCAGCGCATCAGTGGCCATCTGCTTCTCTCTCAGGTTGAACTCATAGTCTCTGGTAAGCACGGATCAGAGCAGACACCATGGGCATGTGCGACAGTGACCTCTCTGCCCTGGCCAGCGGGTGTTTGTCAGCAATGACACACGAGAATGTGCTAGAGAGCGTGAGCAGCCACTGCTGCAGCTGCTACGGAAAGGCTGTAAATTTGCACAAACTGCCACAATTTAATCTCTAACAGGAGATAGGCTAGTAAATTCAGATATTTTTAACCTACTAAGTAAAACGCCTGTGCCAAAAGGAGTAATGTCACGGTGTCACGGTGTCCCGGGACATTGTTTTCCGGCGAGCGGAGCGTGCTCTCAGAGATGCCGCTGTCAGAAGGTGGATGGTCTGCATCCTCAGTGTTTACCACAAACCCAGCGGAGCTGATGCTCTGTCTGCAGGTCCGTCAGCTCTTCAACAGTCCTCCAGCTACACTGGCAAGCATATGCCCGGGCTCCTTTCTTCTGGACCAACTTTGCTTTCAGTTTGTGGAATTCTGGCATGTTGTTCCTACGGCAAAACAGGCAGGCTTGAGCAGTGTCTGTGCTTGGTGTCTCACGGCACAGAAGAAAGGTCACGCTAGGTGACCTGGCTAGGTGGTCTGTTACGACTGTGTTTCTCGGGACAGAAGAAGAAAGGTCCTGCTAGGTGGTCTGTTACGGCTGTGTTTCTCAGGCCGCAGTACCGCTAATGGCGGTCTTCTAGATGCGACTGTTCTGAAGGATTACCGATGTCACTAGTCAGAGACGGCACGGATGGGAACAGAATGGACGTGTGGAGCTCACTCCTACCTCAACCCCTCTCCTGTGCCGTAGAGGACGTGCAGGAAAGGCGGGCTGCGGGCTTCTATTACTTCTATCACGAGGGGACAAGCCCTTCTCTATGCTGAGCTCATTTCTTTCACTTGTTTAAATCACCTGCTTATTTATTATATCAGCAACAGAGTACCTATCCTGAAGTGTGAATAATGCAAAAAGTAGCTGGAGACAGTTATTAAAATGATAACCATTGGCTTTGATTGTATTATAAGAATATGGAAGTTACTGTAAGTTTAGTTATTAAAGAAAATCAATTATGATCTTTATGCATTATGTTTATGAACATAAATTATTGGAAAATAAAACTGGACAAGCTGAAAATAAAATATTGGAAAAAACTCAAGGGAAATGATGAAATGCAGAGCATACGCTAACGATGCAGAACAGCCGAGATGGTTACTGACGGGCACCGCTGCAGAAGGCCGTCTCCACATTGCCCTCTGGTGGTCAGTGTGTACCATATCACTACTGCAGTGTGCTAACTCTGCTTCAGACGGTGAGAACCGAAGAAAACCCTAGAGACTTTCAGGGTCAAGTGTCTGAGCTGGGTAAAGTGACACTTCTACCAGAGTAACCTAGCTAGGGTTATGAAGAAATAGGGCAATAACAGAACAATATGGTTTTATAAGAATGAAAAACAAGTCCGGTAAAACTAAGACAATGAAATGAGCTAATACATCTTTATTCAGTGTTCACGAGATTTTGCTAAACTTAGCACCTGATATCTGACTGATTGCTTAGAGATTTTAAGGATAAGAAAAATGGACACCAGGGGACTCAGTATCTATCACGTACTTTCAAAGAAGTACTTATTTGAAAAGTTTAGAAAATAAATTATGCATTATTTTCCTTTAAGGAGAATGCATGTTTTTAAAAATATTTATCTATTTATTATGTATACAATATCCTGTCTACATGTATACCTGCAGGCCAGAAGAGGGTACCAGACCTCATTAGAGATGGTTGTGAGCCACCATGTGGTTGCTGGGAGTTGAACTCAGGACCTTTGGAAGAGCAGGCAATGCTCTTAACCTCTGAGCCATCTCTCCAGCCGGAGAATGCATGTTTTAACAGAAGAATACAAGGTGTTTTTTTTTTTTTATTAAGCTACAGCATCAGAATGCCAGTAAATCAGTTTATATTTTCCTTACAAAGTGCTACAGCTTGTGAAAGCTAGCACGTGCTTGCTTCCCTGACTGGGGAAATGATACAACAAAGCAGCTGTGCAGCATCCCTGCAACAGGCATGCCCCTGCACCATGAACACAGGCGTGCCCCTGCACCATGAACACAG